GAGCCTTGCAAACGGGCTCGGGGCGTTTGCAGGCAGTCCCGGGCAGGTGCAAGCTGCCCGGGACCAGATAGGCTGTCGCCAGCGCCTGTGCGCATGTGCGGGTGCTGGCACGGGAAAAGTAACACATTGACCCGGGAATTGCCTATATAAGAGGCTGGGAGCTTTTGGGTGTTGCTGAAGCCTTCATCTGTAACCTGAACACAGAATAAAAGAAAACCTGAGAACTACAACTGCTTCTCGTGTCTTGCCTTTCGCGAAGGACTCAACACTGGCGACGAAGGTGGGATGCCTTGCACCGACGGAAAAGAAAAAAAAGGTGAAGCTACAAGGGGTTCCATTAACTATGGAACTAGACACAGGGTCTGCACATTCAATCATCTCCTTACATACATTTAGGAAGATTTGTTCCGGCAGTGGAACTCAGGCCAAGTTAAGGCCTTCTGACATTGTGCTAACAGACTTTCAGAATTCGAGAGTGTGTGTTAAGGGGGAGGCCACCCTTAACGTTCAGTAGAAGAATTTTGAAGGTCCACTAGACCTATTAGTAGTAGGGGGTGAATGGACGAGTCTCATAGGACTCGAGTGGTTTGAGGCCTTGGGGATACATGTCACGGGGCTCAACAGCTTACAAACACTCGATCTGCAGGAAGTCTGCAAAGAATTCGCAGATGTCTTCAGCCCCCAGCTGGGCACATTCAAAGGACCCCCCATGTCCTTAAAACTAGACCCCACTGTCACTCCTATTAGAATTAAAGCAAGAAGGGTCCCTTTTGCTTTAAAGAGTAAAATTGACACTGAGTTGGACAAACTGATCCAACAAGGAATTCTAGAACCTGTTGACTCCAGTCCTTGGGAGACCCCCATTGTCACGCCTCTAAAGGCAAATGGGGACATTCGCATTTGTGCCGATTACAAATGCACTCTGAATAAGGCATTACAGCAACATGCCTATCCTGTTCCTGTGGTCAGTCATATCCTGGCCTCTCTCAAGGGAGGGCGTGTTTTTGCAAAGCTTGACCTAGCTCAAGCGTATCAACAGCTGCCTGTTGATGATGATGATGCTATAGCTCAGACTATTGTGACCCACAGAGGAGCCTTTAAGGTAAAAAGGCTACAGTTTGGAGTGAATGTCGCTCCTGGGATTTTCCAAAGCGTAATGGAAAACATACTACGAGGTATACCGGGGGTTTGCCCCTACTTTGATGATGTCTTAATTGCAGGAGACTCCACACACATTCTAGCTGAATGGCTAAGGGCTGTTTTATTAAGATTCAGGAAGACAGGCCTCAAGCTTAAGAAGGACAAATGCAAAATAGGGGTGCCTTCTACTGAATTTTTGGGGTTCAAAATTGATGCTGCTGGGATTCACCCTGCTGAATCCAAACTAACTGCCATTTTAGAAGCACCTAGGCCAAAGTCTAAGGTTGAACTTCAGGCCTTCCTGGGCCTCCTGAATTTCTACAATTCTTTTCTTCCACATAAAGCTAATGTAGCTGAGCCTCTTCATAGGCTATTAGACAAACAAGCAGTGTGGCAGTGGTCACAAACACATGAGAATAGTTTCAATGAGGTCAAGGCCTTGCTCACTTCTAACAGTGTACTTGCACACTTCAATGAGTCCCTTCCTGCATGCATCACTTGTGATGCTTCCCCTTACGGGGTCAGAGCTGTCCTGAGCCACCTCAGGTCTGATGGAACTCAGGTTCCTGTTGCATATTACTCCAGAACATTGTCTTCTGCTGAGCGCAACTACGCTCAGATAGACAGGGAGGCTTTAGCTGTTGTTGCTGGAATTAAAAAATTCCATGATTTTTTATATGGCAGGCATTTCACGGTCTTCACTGACCATAAGCCTCTGCTGGGACTGTTTACCACATGTAAGCAAACTCCCCAAATCATTTCACCTAGAATGCTCAGGTGGTCTATTTTTTTGTCTGCATATAATTTTTCCTTATTTCACAAGCCTGGGAAAGAGATGGGCCATGCTGATGGCCTCAGTAGATTGCCCCTGCCAGTAATAGAAGCTGACCCTGCGCCAGCTGTTAACATTCTATCCATCCAAGCCTTGCCAGAGTCCCCTCTGAACGCCAAGGATGTAGCCGCTGAATCGGGCACAGATCACACACTTTCACGTGTCCTTTCTTGGGTTTTGTCTGGATGGCCTGAGCACTGTCCTAGTCCTGAGTTTCAGAGTTTCTGGTCTAAAAGGAAGGAGTTGTCCACCTCTCAGGGTTGTCTGCTTTGGGGAAACAGAGTTGTCATTCCCACCTCAATGAGGACTAGGATCTTAGGTTCCCTCCACGAGGGTCATCCTGGCATTGTTCGAATGAAGGCCCTTGCGCGCAGCCACTTGTGGTGGCCTGGTTTAGACAAGGACATTGAGGCTAAGGTGCATGCATGCCACCTGTGCCAACGCTCTCGCCCAGAGATGCCCCAAGCTCCTGTGCATAGATGGGAGGAAACACAGTCCCCATGGTCTAGGGTGCACATTGACTACGCTGGGCCCTTTCAGGGCCAATTCTTCTTGGTCCTCGTTGACAGCCATTCAAAATGGCTTGAGGTTGTACCTGTCTCATCCACCACCACTGCAAAGACTATTCAGGTACTGAGGGGGATTTTTGCTGCACACGGGCTCCCAGATGTCATTGTGTCTGACAACGGCCCTCAATTTACTTCCTCCGAATTCCAAGCTTTCTTGCAGGCCAACATGATTCGTCATGCCACTTCTGCACCCTTCCACCCGTCCACCAATGGTATGGCTGAACGCATGGTTCGCATCACCAAGGACGCCTTGAAGAAACTCACCTATGGGGACTGGCATCACAGGTTGGCTGACTTTCTCCTTTCTTATCGCACCACACCGTCCACTTCTACAGGGAGAAGCCCAGCTGAACTTCGCTGGGGGCGCAAACTGACTACGAAGCTTGACCGGTTGCATCCGGACAGACTACCTTTATCTACCTCACACCCTAGGGCACCTAGACAACTACTTGTGGGTGCCCCGGTTTGGACTCGCAATTACGGGCCTGGTCATACATGGGTCCCCGCTTCTATTTCCAGGGTCACAGGTCCTCTATCCTACGAGGTAGCCCTGGACAACGGTCGTGTCCTGCACCGGCACATCAACCAACTCCGCCCTAGGCGGGATCTTCCAGATGAGACTCCTGGGTCTTTTCCAGGGGCGGATGGGGACCCTTTAGAGCAAAGGGAGGAGCACGAGCTGCTGCCCACCTCCAATGATGGAGCCACAAACAGCCCATTCCAAGATTCCGCGAGTGCCCCAAACAGGAATTCTAAGAGCCTATCCAACTACCAGGCATTCACGCCTACTCCAGCCAGGGAGTCACCCCGGGGGTACAATCACTATTCACCTGCACAGCACAGTACTCCAGTCAGGGAGGATACCCGGGAGCATCCCAATAAATCATACCCCGCAAGAGAGCTGGCACATAATCCCCAGAGTTGGCCTGACCTTACCCCAAGTCCTACAGGGGGTCAAACATACAGGGAGGTGGTTGAGGAACCAAGTCCCGACCGCAACACCTCTAGCCCAAATCAGGGAGTAACTGAGTTTTGGGAAGGTACAGAAACCCACACGAGCCCGGACACAGAACGGGGTTTAGGGAATGGACAGCCTCCTGACAGGTCTTGGACGGACCTAGGAGGTTCTACAGAGACGCCCAGCAGTGGCTATCACTTCAAGGGGCCTGAGGGCCTACAGCTAGGCAGGTCAACCAGGTCACAAAGTGACAGAAGCCCTGGCCTGACGAGCCCGGTGGGCGAGCAAGCAGGCCAGGCATTGGGGCACAGTCCTTGGAAGGCACCAAGGCAAGATAAGGAGAACAGGCTCACGTCTCCCTTCAGTCAGGGAACACCTGTCAGAAACCCAGAGCTGAGAAGGTCACAGAGAGCAAGGAAATCTCCTAAGTACTTAGAGGATTACATAACATTGCTGGCTAAACAAAAGCCAGTAAACAGTAGGAGCACTGGGGAGTAGAACACTTCATCAACAAATAATTGGATGTTGGTAGTAGTCTTAGCCCGGGGGAAAGGGGTGTTATGTCCCGAGCCTTGCAAACGGGCTCGGGGTGTTTGCAGGCAGTCCCGGGCAGGTGCAAGCTGCCCGGGACCAGACAGGCTGTCGCCAGCGCCTGTGCGCATGCGCGGATGCTGGCGCGGGAAAAGTAACACATTGACCCGGGAATTGCCTATATAAGAGGCTTGGAGCTTTTGGGCGTTGCTGAAGCCTTCATCTGTAACCTGAACACAGAATAAAAGAAAACCTGAGAACTACAACTGCTTCTTGTGTCTTGCCTTTCGCGAAGGACTCAACAGACCCCATTTTTTAATATTATTTTCAATAGTCCAAAGGTGCTTTTTGAACAGTCAACTAGAACTTCCTTTGTTTTTGCTTGAAGACATTTCGCTTTTCATCTGAAATTCCCTGCTTAGGTAAAAAGCAGATGCTGTGCATTCTGGATTTGAATGAGCATGCTACTTAAAATGCAAACTGCTGAAGTGGACATGATGATTACTCATATGACTCCAGATAGAACTTGTTCTCATTTGAATCTATTATGCAGAATTTTTCAGTGGGGTAATTTGATGAGGATTATAGTAGGTAAGAAATCCAATAGAAATTACCCTCATTGACTTTTAAAAGCATTTGTACTTAACGTAATTCAATTAGTGCAAAAAAACACTCTGGTGGTAGTGCTTGAGACCAATCTGTTAATGTGAATTTAAAGATTTTTCAAATAGATCTTTGAATCAATGTTTGTTTCTTTTTCTTCATTCTCTATCTCATTAAAAGCAGCTACTGTAAATCACTGTGATATTATTTGAATTTTTTTAGAATGGCAAAAGGAATTGTCTTTCTTTCCATTTAGAATATGATTTTCTCTTGATCTGAATTTTTTCTAATGTTTTTGTTAAAGAAATTTGCTAAAAGTATATTTTTCTTATCTTAAAAAATAATTTAGGCTTTTTGTTTCTCTTAGGATTTCTTGTTACAGATATTTACTGTTTTTCGAATATTAATACAGCCAGAAATGTTTCCAAAAGATTGGACAGTGATGCGTTTAGTTGCTAACAAGTAAGATTTCTTAAATACAAACATAATCATAATATGGGTCTATCTTTATTGAGATTGTGTGCTTATTATTTTCTATTTACAAAATGCCAACAAATTTCATTTCCTTATAATACAGCCAAGGAACCTTACAGCTTTTTCTAACCTTATGATCTTATTTGAATATAACTATTTTATTGTCTGTTTGTTTGTCTATCTATCATCTATTGTGTTTATAATTGATAGTTAATGAGACTACCAATGAGACCTCTATTTTATTCCAGTTAAACTTTAAATATTTCCCATCCTCTAGTGAATAACAAAAGATGTGCATTAAACTGAAAGTGTTTTTAAGATCAGCATAAACCATCCTATCAATAAATTTCAAGTTGGCAGCATTCTCATAAGACAAAACTTTGAATATTGTGTATTTAGACAGAATAAAATGCCTGTCTGTTCCCCAGGGTCATCAACAAACTAGATTCTTTTTTTAACACTGTTGACTAACTATTCTTTGACAATATAACACAACAAACAAACAAATAGTATGATTGCAAAAAAAAAGCACTCAAGATAACAGAGGTGCAATCTAGATGACATCCAAACTGAAACCAAGATCTTGTTATAATTTGAAATGAATCTGAGATGGGGTGGGGAGATGCCTAGACAGCTTCAGCTATTCATTTTTTCAGCAAAATCGTCCAACTTCATTGAGTCAAATTATTTTAAATGTCTACTGTTTTTCCCCATTAGCAATAAGCTATGACCAATTCCTGCTGCTATTTTGTTAAGGCCTGGGGCAAGCAGTGCGGCATTGTTCTAATCAGCAACAATAACAAAATAATATTGCAATGCAAGTTACAAACAATGCTTTCTGAATGAAATGATCAACCTTTGGAATTGTAGCAAAAATGGCTGCTTTAATTCTGACTGGAAACAAAACTCTGAGAACAGATATTGTACAAATGTTTGGGTTTTATAATACTGTACAATAAGTGAACGTAAAAATGTTCTGCATGCCACCATTGAATAATACTCATCATGCTTTCATGCTGATTAGATGTTAGTTCAATTATATTATACCACTGCAATTAATTGTCTTTCCAATGTGTTAGCAAAGTATATTTATTAGGACTTCCTGGGTCTACTTTTCCCTGATCCCTACCCCATCTCCACAAATCCTATGGTATTTTGATCATATAGTGTATTTGCAGAATAATCCAGTTCAGGGAGCAAGACAGAGTTAATATTTGGGTAAGCACAAGAAAAATTCTTTGCAAAAAGCTCTGTGATTTTGAACAAAAGGGATGGTTCTGCATTAGAGAGAGCACAAGTGTTTAAATTTAAATTTCATGCCAAAGAGAAAAAAAAAAACAGTTGGGACAAACAAACCTAGCAATACACACTACTAATTAGTGTGTTAACTAATTCTATTCCATTGTTCTCCCTAATACATTTTGTGAGTTTAAGAAATATATTGAGAATATTTCATAATTTTACAGAGTGAGGTTCAAAGTATGTATTATAAAACTTATAGACTCCTATTTCAGACCATTTTAAATATTTATATTTGTGTAGCTTGCACTCTGTAAACAGTTTCTTGTATTAATAAAAAAAATCAGAACAAAGATATAAAACAATATGTATATTGGTATGTGAACAATTAAATATATAATCCATCTTGTGTTTTTCTACTAGTGTTATTATTACAACAGTGTTATATCTTTCTGATGCCCTTTGCAAAAACTTCTTAAATGAAAATTTTGATTATAAGGTAAGCTGGCAGTTGGTTTGCATTATTTTATGCATGTTTTTATTTAAAGCATTTGTATAGCCTCCCATCTTAAATCAAATTCTAGATGGCTTACAATCAATTATGAAGCTCTTTCTTGTCAAATGCTTTTTAAAATTGTTTCTCCAGTTTAATCATCTTACCCCAGTTTATGTGTCAGCAGTAGCAGCTATTCTACACCACAGATGAGAAAATATCTCAATATATGTAACATTTAATTAAAATGGGCTTTGCATTTAATATTTATAATAATAATAAAGTTGGAAGGTACTTTGGAGGTCATCTAGTCTAACCCCCTGCTCAGGCAGGAAACCCTGTACCATTTTGGACAAATGGCTGTCCAGTCTTTTCTTAAAAACTTCCAGTGTTGGAGCATTCACCGCTTCTGGAGGCAGGTTGTTCCACTGGTTAATTGTTCTAACTGTTAGGAAATTTCTCCTTAGTTCTAGGTTGCTTCTCTCCTTGATTAGTTTCCATCTGTTGCTTCTTGTCCTGCCTTCAGGCGCTTTGAAAAATAGCTTGACTCCCTCTTCTTTGTGGCAGCCCCTGAGATATTGGAACACTGCTATCATGTCTCCCCTCGTCCTTCTCTTCATTAAACCAGACATATCCAATTCCAGCAACCGTTCCTTATATGCTTTTAGCCTCCAGTCCCCTAATCATCTTTGTTGCTCTTCTCTGTACTCTTTCTAAAGTCTCAACATCTTTTTTACATCGCGGTGACCAAAACTGGATGCAATATTCCAAGTGTGGCCTTACCAAGGCATTGTAAAGTGGTATTAACACTTCACGTGATCTTGATTCTATCCCTCTGTTAATGCAGCCTAGCACTGTGTTGGCCTTTTGGGCAGCTGCAGCACACTGCTGGCTCATATTTAAGTGATTGTCCACTAGGACTCTGAGATCCCTCTCACAGTTACTACTATTGAGCAAGGTACCCCCTATACTATACCTGTACATTTGTTTTTTCTTGCCTAAATGTAGAACCTTGCTTTTTTCACCATTGAATTTCATTTTGTTAGATAGTGCCCAGTGTTCAAGTCTGTCCAGATCCTTATGTATCTTAAGCCTGTCTTCTGGAGTGTTGGCTATTTCTGCCAGTTTGGTGTTGTCTGCAAATTTGATGAGTTCCCCGTCTATCCCCTCATCCAAATCATTGATGAATATGTTGAAGAGCACTGGACCCAGAACAGAGCCCTGGGGCACCCCACTACACACTTTCCTCCATGTAGATGTGGTTTCATTGAGGACCACATGCTGCGTACGGCCAATCAGCTAGCTACGGATCCATCTGATGGTGATGCTGTCTACCCTACATTTTTCTATCTTGTCAAGTAGTAGGTTGTGATCTACTTTATCAAGTGCCTCACTGAAGTCCAAGTAAATTATATCCACAGCGTTCCTCTGATCCACTAATTTTATCAGTTGGTCAAAGAATGTACTAAGATTTGTCTGGCTGATCTGTTTTTGACAAACCCATGTTGGCTTTCAAAAATTTCATATTTGAGTGATGATGACTAAGAATTAATTTTGATTTGGACCTGTACTTTAAAACAGTTCTCCAGACTTGTATGATATAATATTAAGGAGATAGACATCTGGAAAATTCTGGTTGTGGAAAATTTATTATTTATATATTTTAAACATTTATACAATAAAAGTTTATACCAAACTCTGGGGAGCACCCAATTGATTTTATTGAATATTTGTCTTCATAGCATCTAATTCCTTTTAACTGGGAATAATATTGGTCCTAAACTCTGCTTTTATAATAAGATATGGTCTTTATAATATGGTCATATACAATACAGAGAAGAGCAACTAAGATGATCAAAGGCCTGGAGACTAAAACATATGAAAAATGGCTGTAGGAATTGGGTTTGGCTAGTCTAAAGAAAAGAAGAAACAGGGGTGACATAATAGCAGCATTCCAGTATTTGAGCGGCTGCCACAAAGAAGAGGGGGTCAAATTATTCTCTAAAGCACCAGAAGGCAGGACAAGAAACAATGGTTGGAAACTGATCAAAGAGAGAAGCAACCTGGAATTAAGGAAAAAGTTCCTAACAGTGAGGACAATTAATCAGTGGAACAGCTTGCCTTCAGAAATTATGGGCACTCAATCACTGGAGATTTTTAAGAAGAGACTAGACACTTATTTGAAATGGTATAGGTGGCTGGACTAGAAGACCTTCAAGGTCCCTTCCAGTTCTATTCTATTCTATTCTAGTCTAGTCTAGTCTAGTCTAGTCTAGTCTAGTCTAGTCTAGTCTAGTCTAATCTAGTCTATACAACACAACACAATATATTTATAATAATATACTTTAATGTTTATAATAAGAGAGCCAGTTTTCTATAATGGTAAAGGTGCTGGCCTGGAAACCAGGATATTATGAATTATAGTTATGTTTTGGGCATGAAAGCTGGCTGGTTGATCTTGGACTAGTCACTGTCTCTCAATCCAACAGACCAAACAGAGATTTTTTCTGCAGGAAATAGGAGGAGGAGAGTATTAGTATATTCACTGCCTTGAGTTATTAACAGAAAATAATAATGGTGGGATAAAATTCTAACAAATAAATATTCACCAGTCATTTTTAAAACACACTGAGACATATAAACAAATAAAATAACATTTACAAATATAATAAGTGAAAGAAATAAAAAGCAAAAATTAGCAAATTGTAATTCAAGAGGTTTTCAAACACAATAACATTTATTAGAAAAAATCAAAATGACATTGATATAAATTTACATATCAATATATTTTATGACATTTTCAAAATTGAAATCAGTATAAAAATAATCTGATTATTGTATAATCATTGACAGTTATTTATAATATAATTTAATTTATACATGATGAACTTAGATTAGAAATGAAGTTATAAGTTCTGTCTAACTTAGAATCAGAAAAAAGTGAGAAGTTAAAAGTTGAGGGGGGTGGAGCTAGCTTGAATGGACATGGAAGCTGAATTTCTGCCTCCTCCGGACCATCACAGAGAATTGATTAAGAAATATAACACCCGACTTCCGGTTCTGGATCCTGCCATGTGCAGTCGTGTGGAGAGCTCCGTCTCTTCGCCAGCTGCTTTCCCTCTGCCAGCTGGCCCTTAATCGGGTCGAAAAGTTGCCCTGGAGGGGTGACCACCATCGAGGAGGCCCTCGTTGACTGCAGAAGGGCGGCAGCTCTTTCCGCGGTCCAAGCTAGCTCCTTAGGGCCGTCGGAGAAAAGATCAGCCAGTAAAATGGCCGATCACCCAGCTGCGCCAGCTGAAAGTCAGAAGAACAGCTAAGCATGAAGAACCACAGTGGAGAAATCTGGGTGAGACCTTTCCCTCCCTCTCTTAGCCCCAACTATTTTCCTGTAAAAAGCCTCTGAATGACTTCCCTGCCCTAATAGAACGGCATTTGTTTACTTGGGAAAAAAAGCTTTGAACAAGATTATAAAACAGTAAATTTTTATTGGATATTTAATTTTTTGGATATTTTGGGGCCCGGAAAAAAAATCCTTATCAGAAATATTATTGTTATTTTATCTACAATGCTGGAGATATTTGCTTTTTTCTCTCTCTATTTTCCTAATGAGAAAAAAAAATTTAAATCGGAAAAAAAGATTTTATAGCCTACTGAGGACATCTTGTGTGAAAAGTGTTACTGCAATTGTACTTTCTGTTGGTGTTTGAAGATGGATTTGACCTTCAAATGATAATAAAAGGGAAAAGATAAAGGCCTTGAAGCAGCTGTGGGCTGAATTTGCTTACTAGAAATTCTGGAGGTGGATATTTGTTGATTTCTAATAAATATAGCTTCTACTAAAAGATTAAAAGACTATTTTATCATGGAAATGGAGGAATCTTACCCACAGCTTGATTATGAGCTTATATTGGAAAAAATTATGGAAGCTACAGAGTATATGAAATCTTGGAGAAAAATTAAAGATCATTTTGCAGAACCACAAACTGAATTTCAAATTTTAATGGACCAACCTATAGGCCAAGGAACAATAAAGGAGGAACAGACTAGCTTTAAAGAGGCCTATATGCAACAGTGCATACAATTTAAAGAGATGGAGGAAGAAGCTATTGATCAACTGAGCTCTAGAAAAATGCTTGACTTAAAATCTCAAACTGAGACTCTAATTGATCATTCCACAAGTCAACTAATCACTACAGAAGAGGATATTTCACAAGCCTACATACAAATTATGGAGAACTCTGATGATCAAAGAATGACTTTAACTGAAATACTTGCAGTCTTAAAAGCAACAGGAACTGACTTTCAGATGCGATCTATTGAAAGTGGTGATAATCTGGATAATCAACTAGTAACTACAACATGGAATAAAATTGACTATACTATCCAGATGATACTGGAAGAAAGGGAAGAGAACTTAGACCAGATTGATGTGTCAATAAATACCCGTACTCAAATACTGAGATTTGATGGTATAGATGCGGTATTATGGAAACCAGCCTGGCACAAAAAGAAAGCTAGAGTTAAATTTAAAAATGTGATTTAAAATTGTACTTAATGGGCTAAAAAGGCTTTAGAGATCTGGACTGACTTAACAATTAACTGAGTATGTGAAGTTAGCAAGATGATATTTTGTGTAACAATATGCTTGTTTTAGATATGATAATTATTTGGACGAAATTTAAATCTTACCTAATGGGCTGAAATGATTTTTTTTTTTTTGCTTATATAGAAATAGATTGACTGATAGATTATATATTTAAAATAGAGTAGAGTAATATTTTTATTTTAAGTAAGATAAGTATTTTGTAGTGGAAGAAGAAATAAGAGAGATTTGTGATAAGAGAAGAATTGGTACTAATCAATGACTTATTAGACTAAGAATTAGAATATATTTGGAAATATTAGAATGTTACTGTTGGAATATTATGTGTATTGTAGAAGGGATACCCGAAGTGCTAATAATATGTTTATTCAAGATTAAATTGGATTATGGTAACTGTAAATTA